CTAGTTATAATAATAAAATAAATAATAAGTGCTTTATGTAGAATTTGATATCCATTGCTACACCTTACAAATTCTAGCATATTGTTTATGAACAGCGTCGCTAAGAAAAGATGGAATTAGAAGTTAGAGTTTTTGTAGCCACTCAGGATATTGTGTCAGATTCTCAGCTGGTATAAATCTAGCCCTGTGTGCTCCTTCCCCACCCCCATGGTTTTGTTTCCTTAGCATGGTAAATTACCTGTCCCTTTGCCTTTACTCTGCACTGCTTGCTTAATATAAGGCATAGGAGCATCTCAGTTTAAGCAGGGGAGAAAAAAATAAAGCAGCTCCTTTCTGTGCTGCATAAGATCCAGGATAATCCCCTTAGGGGATGAAAAATAGCAGCATTTGGAGGCTAATACAAGGGGGTTGGCAAACAACTGTCAGTTTTAAAGTGCGTCCAAAACTCAGATCTCTGACATCAATGAAAAAAAAAAAAAAGCTACCTCAACTAAATTAGCTCAAAGCTATTTGCATAATGGGTCCAGAGGCGGCACAATATAAGTAGGGAGGCACTAGCCATCCAAAGAGAACTTCGCACCCGTTCTATTGGATACTGCAAGTGTCTGTAGTAAAGAAGGAAAACTCTGAAGCTCAGATGTGCAAATACGTCTAAAGAGGGAATGAACTGAAGATCCTCTTGGGAGAAAGATCAACCAAAACCACAAAACACAATCCAGGTAATTTATAAATTTTTAAGTTGCCTACTTTAACTTTTCTTCTTAAGATTGTACTGGACAGCATAGCATTCCTCAGCGTGCCACTGTTAGAGCCACGATTCAAGGATTTTGTCAGAGGTAATAGAAGCCTGCCATTAAGAGAGGTAACACTTGTTTTCTTTTTAGAAACTGGTGTATTGTCTTGTAAAACTTTACTTAGTAGAGTGTGTATTCCTTTCACTGAACAAGTCTGCTAGGGATGTTATTTAGCTAAACGGAATGTATAGTAACGTAGGTTTCAGAAATGAACTTTACTGCTTGGTAAATAAATGATCAGAACTTAGAGAAAATGTGCTAGGTGCTTCAGGAATTCCAGAGACAGATCAGAACTAATGTAGATACTATTTTTATGCATGTGGGTTGTAAAATATGATATTCTTTGACTTGACCAAAAAGTGGTAGGTGCTTTCCAAACACAGAAGATAGTCCCTAAGAGTGCACAAATATATTATATGTATCTCTCTCTCTCACTCACACACTCACCCTATTTTGAGTGTGTACCCACGAGAAGGAAAACTCAGTTGCTTATTTAAGGTTGATTTCTCACTAAAGGCAGAACAAAACTGTGCTGCAAACCCTGGGATTATTTTAAAGCAGTCCTTTAGTTTAAGAGAGGGAGTTATTTAATGAAACCAGTCCTTGGGGCAGGTGTACATGCATGTGTAAAATACGAAACAATATGCTAACAGTTTCAAAAGGGAAGACTAGAATAGTCTGATCAAAAGATATTAAAAATGCTAAATGTATATGACATTTAGAACCCAAATAGCTGTTCTATACAGAAAGTGAACTAGCCCTCAACATTACCTACAAAGAATTTACAAATTATTTGGAGCACTTCAAAACAAAGTGAGGGAGCGGTCAGAAAAATTAAAAGGGACAGGAAATAATTTCCATGAGAAACTCCAGTCTCTGCGGCAGCTCAGAGCGCTTGAGTGCTTTGTACTTACCCAGGCTTCTTCCTGAGTTACTGGGTACATTGTAATTTTTGTTGGTTTTGTTCCATTGCCCTCCCCTGTCCTTTACTTTCCCATGAAAGTTGCAGGAACTCCTCTCCCACAATGACATCCATCCAGCTGCTGCTGCTCTCCCTGACTCTCTCCAGTGTCTGTGTCAGTCTGGGGCAGCCCATTCCAGAGGCAAACGAGAATGGAGATAGAAGCCATTTGGATGACATCCTGCAAAGGGCAGAAAGCATCATCCTTCAGTCTATCCTCAAGAAAGCAGAAGAGGGGGAAGAGACTAATAAAGGTAGACGTGACATTGGTGCGGTTAGCACGTTACTTAGATGGAGATCTTTAATTTCATTGTGCTTAGTTCCTGGGGTCTATTTTTCTTTCCTGGGAATAATAAATAAAAGGGGGGAAAGAGTTAGGCCAGATGTGACACAGAGAAATCAGGAAAAGAGGTTTTCTTCCCTAGGGAGCTTTACTAGCCTGGGAACTGCTGCACCAGACCAGACCAATGCTCCACCTAGTCTGGCATCCTGTAGAAGATACTTCAGAAGGGATGATAGAATCACTATGATGAAATAACCTGCCTGTAGAGAAGGTTCCTACAGGGGCAGCTGTAAAGTTAGAACAGGGCACGCGTACTCTCAGCTACTCCCTGCTAGCCTCCTTGTCACTTGGCTAACAGATGCTCCTTACCACTCACACTCCCCTTGTCGGACAGCAAGGGGTCAAATTTCCATGGAGTGCCCAGGCTGCCTCTGGCAACATCTCACAAATCCTCTGCTCCCGGCAGCCACAGCAGCTGAAGCTGGCCCTGATCGGAAGCTTGTGGAAGAAAAGGTGCAGGTAGCTGCCGATCTTGTTGCCGGAAGCAAAGGGAGAAGGGAGCTGGCCCTAGAAAGCCCACCCCCACCTTCCTAGAAACTTTCATTAAAAAAAAAAAAAAAAAGTAAGCGGAGATTCTCAGGTAGTCACATGAATCCAGGAGCTGGGCCTTTAAGAAAAGGTACAAATATTGCAAGACATGCAATAAAAATCATAAGAACTGGCTGCACTGAGTCCCCAAACTTTCAAGATGTCCTTTACTCCCCTGCCTCTACCTGCCACTCAGCCCTATCATCTCCCCTGGCATGCAGCTCCTGCCCTGTACCCACCTCTGCTGGCACTGCAACTCAGCTCCTCCCCCTGCCCCTGTGCATGTATCCTCCAGCCCCTGACCTGACTCTACAGCTGCCCCCTTTCCCAAATTTCTATGGAGCAATGCTCTAGAATAGCATATTGGGTCCTATCATTGGATTCCCTCCCAATTCTTTTCCAGACTGGATTTTTTTCCTTCAAACCATCCTTGCTGAAATGATCATATGCCAATCTGCACTTGGCTACCCCATCCAGAGTAACCCCATTGCAGTCCACAGAGTTGCCCTAGGTTTACAATGGTGTGACTGGGAGTGGCATATAACCCTATGCTCCCTCCAGAGCTATAATAAATATACCCCAGGGAGCTCACAGTTCAGCTTCCAGATGAATAATGATAATCACGAAAGTTCACTAACGTTGGTCATTCCCTTGGACAGAACCAAGCGCTCCTCAGCCAGATTGGTTTTCCAAAAGACAACACCCTGGGAAGAGATTCCCCAGTGACCTAGAGAAGAGGCAGCACCCTGGGAAAAGGGAAGATGAGGAAGAAGTGTCTTATGGAGAAACTCAGAAGAGACAACATCCAGGGAAAAGAGAGGAAGACGATGACCTTGACAGTGACATGGAGCTGCAGAAGAGACAGCATCCTGGCAAGAGGTCACTGTGGGACCAGTATGCTGATATCCCTAGCACCCAACTGGCCTATCTGAATGAACTATCCAAAAGGCAACACCCGGGCAAGAGGTCTCTGATTTACAACAAGCGTCAGCATCCTGGCAAGAGGAGCTGGGATGACGAGCTGGATCTGGGCAACCAGGACATGGAGAAACGCCAGCACCCTGGAAGAAGATACGTGGATTCTGAAAGCCCAGATTACGATGCCCCCTGTGACCTCCAGGATTCCTTCAACTGTAGCAAAGGCAGCTTCTTGCTTGAGTTACTAGATAATGTCAACAAGGGCAGAGTAGAAGAGAAGCGGCAGCATCCTGGGAGGAGGTTTGCTTGGGAAGGTGAGGCGGGGGCAGAGGAGTGAGAAAGGGCGATTGCATTAACCATCATTTACATTTGATTCAGAGTGATCTGCCAGACCACTTAAAGTTCTGTTCATCCCCCCTCTGACTCTCTGCTGCTGACCTGCCATATGAGTAACTCCTTAGAAATAAAGCTAAAGTCCTCGAGGATTAAAGCCCTGATTCAGCCAGGTACTTAGGCATGTGCATGGGCCCACTGAAGTCAATGACACTACTCACACATTTAAAGTTAAGGATGTGCTTAAATACTTTGCTGACTCAGGGGCAACGGGCCTAATCCTGCCACGTGCTGAGTGCTTTCAACTCCCACCATCATGGAAACTGAGGGTGCTCAGTATCTTACAGGATCAGGCTCTAAGATGATCCCTTTATGTGCACCCACCAATTGTATCCCAAGGACTAGAACGACCCCGTTATATGCGTTCAGGATACTAGATGATGAAGCAGAATAATTACATGGCTCTTCTTATGCAAGTGAAAACAAGTGAATTTACAGAGCGGGAGAGAAAAACAACATATGAAGTGATTTCAAAATGAAATTTAACAGGGTTTTACTTTTAAATGTTACATTAGTGAAATATGTACGCTTATGCACTTCAGCCTATTCTGATAATAAACATTAATTCGTGGGCAGAGAGAGAGAGACTATGCACGAATGTAACAGACTGGATGTTTAGCTTTACACCTTGCCTTCAAACAATTGACTCAAAACCAAACAATATTTCATTTAGGAAACTACAGAACAAGGACATTTAATGTGTCGTAACAATTCAACAAGTTGAGAAGAGCCATGTGTGTGACTACATAGTAAGGTCCTCTAATCAATACATCTACATTTCAGTCATTTGACTTGAAACCGATGCGTTCTCTTTATTAGATAGCAACATTTTAAATTGCAACAAGAAGGCATTGTCTCCATAGGAGAATTTTTGTTGTTCTTCTAATTAAGTTTCTCCCCCTCCCCATAAAAAATGTTTTCACTTTATGTGGTCTACAGATTCTGCAAGGTGTTTATTTGGCATGAACAATTAATAAATATCAATAGTCAATCCCATCGTAACTTCGGGTGTCCTTTATGGTTGTGCAAATGCAATTCAATAACATGAAAAATATCAAGTCCTCCTGAGTTTAAATTAATATGAAAAAATATTTTTCTAGGAAACAACATCTTGCGTCCTGGTGGTTACTACATGTTTGTATATAGAACTATTTTGCTATTGAAGTGGAAGGCTGATTTGTACAAAAGATAGTAGAGTCCCTTTTGAAACCTTCTACTTGTGTATTATAATAAAGATATGCATCTGGAATAAACCCACAAGCATCCTTGTTACACAGCTGCACAATGAACTTTGGTTATTTGAGTCTGAGACTTGTACACAAAAGGATGTTTTACTCTGAATCAGACCGGTTCTACATAACATAAGAAATTTTATTTCTTTGGTACATGTACAGATTGAACTTTGAATTCGGTCAATCTGTGCAGCATGGGTATGTGTCTATACGAAGATACCCTTTCATGCCAGTGACAAGAGACGGAGTAATTCATCAGTTCTTTAATGCTTGGACAACATTTAATGCTCTGTGCTTAGTAACCAGTTACACGGGTGTAACTGAGATTGGAATCTGACCTGGTTACTGCAACTGCATGAACAGATTGTGTATTTGAACACACATATCTCACATTAAATATCTAAGCAGTCATTTGCACATGTAACTACAAATAGTTGTATGTGTGTTGTGGTGACATGCAAATTGGCCTGCAATGCACACCATCCTCGGTTTCTATTATTAAAATCAGACACTGTGCAACTCACCTACTTCACAGTGTATCAGCAGCAGAGCAAAGAACAGGAACTAGGAGTGCTGACTCCATATTTCCTGGTCTTACCTCTAGAGACACTGATTTTGTTGATCAATAGACATTTATCAAGTGATGTTGATGTCATCTTCTATGTTAGAAGTAGAAGCACTATAGTCAATATAGCCCATGGCTTTCTAAAAAAAAATAATCTGGTTTTTCAAAGCAGATTTATCCTACTTGATTAATCTGATCAAAATATTTTAATACAAAACTTCCATCCTATAACGTAGTGTTCCTTTTCACAGGATTCCTAATATATAGCTTTTTTTCCCCAAAGAACTTCACTGCTTAGACATGTTGGTGGTTTGTTACCCTGGAGAGAAATAATTAACAATCTTAGCAAGTTTCACTGAAGTTAAAGGTTTCCAAGGCGACCCACATGCAATGTGGTCAATCAAGCACTTTGCATCTTTGGAGATAATTTGTCCTGTTATATGCCTGTGATAACTGGCAGGCATCAATTACTGGCAATGGCTTTCTAATTAACAACTGGCGAGTAAATCCTCAAAGCAGATAGATGGGTACATCTTGTACACTTCAACAGCCATTGGCACACTTTGTGCATAAGATGCCTTTTAAAGCAGGTATTTCTCGTTTTGTAATGGAAGAAAGGAATTCGTTTAAAGACATTTCCTTGTGCATTATTCCATGCATCATTTCCGATTAATCAGGCTTTTTAAAACAGGGAGAACCCTAACAATATGACATGTGACCACCAACATGTGTCTTAACAGGTACAAAATAAAGAAATGGGGTTAGAATGTTTTTCATAATTTCAGGAATAGACAAACATTCCATAACAACAAAGCAAACACAACAGAGTCCCACAAGGTGAGGACCCTTGTGAATCTACTCCAAGAACGCTGAAGGAAGAACATGCAAAAAGCCAAGGTTTGGAAAAAAAAAAAAAAGATAGGCTGATATAGTTCTGCAGCTGTGTGGGGCCTGAGGGAAACTCTCCATCTGCTGGTGAAAGTTATTCATACACAGCTACAAGCTAAGGTGCTAAATGCGAATGAAGATAAGAGGGCAATCAGAAAGTCAGATATCATGAAAAATACTTTACCGCTATTACTAACAGCACTGCAGATCATTAAAAAAGGTAAAGAGTTTAAAAATCCAATTTACTCTTCATTCTGGATAATTGTGGGTTTTGCACTTTTCTCTCAAAGGAGAGAATGAAAAATCAGCAATTCAGTTTCACTTTTTTCTACGATTGTTTTTTATTTCAGGATTTCAGCACTATCAGGGGGATGCTTATTTGTTTAAAGAAAACCACCACCTCCGTTAGATTTCCTTTTTAAAGGAATTATTTCTGTCGGCATTAGATTTTGTAAAAGCTTGGGGGTTTTTTGGGGGGGGGGGAAGAATATAAATTTTAGGCCAAATCTGAGCTGACAATGTTTTACATTAAATCAAGTTTAGCACATCTTTTTTGTGACAGCAATTTTTTATAATTGGCATGAACTTGGTAATGAAGCGCTGCTAGCATTGAACTAAGCCAGGCATAATGCAAGCAGAATGAGATGTTAGGAAATCTTCCCTCACACAGTTCTGCCAGTACACCTCAATCATTAGCCACAACTAGGGCTGGCTGGAAAACAATTCCATTTTGCAAACTAATGTTGAGGTTTCAAAAAAAAATTCTGTTCCATGGTGGCACAAAAACAAAACCTTTAGAATTTTGTCATGAAAAACAGACACTGAGACACCCCAGAATAGTTGATAGCCTGTTATAGTGCACTTACAGATGTGGAAGATCCCATCCAAGTCCCTGCTCTGCCATGAAATAGCATTTTTCAATAGGAAAGGTTTCAATTTTTTTTTGACCAGCTCTTTCCACAACACTCCATCTACTCCAGTGCAGGGCCCCTGAAAAGCTGTGGAACAGCTCCTGAAAAAAGGGATTCTCAAGCAGAGACTAAACCCAGCTGAACCTGCTGGTAAACTGGGGGTGCTTTAACCTGGTAATCCAGTCAAAACTGGGGTGAGTCACGGGATTCCACTCAGGAAAGTGCACGTCACTGGCAAGACGGTTTGAGCGTGTCTACACCAGTGGTTCTCAAACGGTGGGTCGGGACCCCAAAGTGGGTCGCAACCCAATTTTAATGGGGCCGCCAGGGCTGCCTTAGACTTGCTGGGGCTCATGGCCAAAGCCCAAGCCCAAGCGCTTCAGCCCTGGGGAGCAGGGCTAAGGTTACAGGCCCCCTGCCTGGGGCTGAAGCCCTTGGGCTTCGGCTATGACTCCCTGGCCTGTGGCAATGGGGCTTTGGCTTTGCCCTCCACTCCCTTCCAGGGTGGCGGGCTCAGACTTCAGTCCCCCCTCCTGGGGTCCCATAGTAATTTTTGTTGTCAGAAGGGGGTTGTGGTGCAGTGAAGTTTGAGAACCCCAGTCTACACTTTGAGCTGGAGGTGTGCATTCCAGTTCAGAGAGACAGACCCATGCTAGCGCGCGCTAAACACAGAGCGTAGCTGTGGCAGCGTGAAGAGCTAGCCTCCCTAGTGTGGCGGATAAGTACGTATAGGGAAGGCTAGCCCTCCCGCTACTCCACCTTCACTGCATTTTTAGTGCACTAGTTCAATCAGAGCTAGTGTGGGTCTCTCTCCTCTCCTGAGGCTGGAATTCACACCTCTAACTTGAAGGAGAGAGATCACAGCTGCAGTTCACCCGGAACTGTAACAGTAGTACAGTCCCATTTGAAATGCTCTTCCCAATATCCGATATCAGCTGTGAAGTGCGCAGGTTGGATGATGAAACATGAGGTAATATTAGAGAGGAGCCTGAATCAGAGCCCCGGATCTGAAAATCCACAAACTTTGTTGGGAAGGGGGAGGTTTGGAGCCAGATCCGAACTCTGCACTTCAGTATAATTGCTAAATAGTATTTTTCAGTTATGTAACAAGCATAGGCGTGCGCACGGGGTGTGCCGGGTGTGCCCAGGCACACCCTAATGCACGGGTGGGCAAATGGCTCCACTCCCCGGTGCAGCAAGCTGCGGGGTCTGCGCTTCCGGTCCGGAGCGCCCGGCCGAACGCAGCAAGCAACCCTCCCCCCCTCCCCTGGAGCCATGCTGCCGCGCACAGCGCTCTGGGGGCCGGGGCTTCCCCCTCCCCATGAGCCATGCTGCCGCATGTGCAGTG